CAATTTACAACAGCCCTTTCTGACACCAGCTACTCTGAAGCACAGCTTTCCTGCAAAGGACAGAACTGGTTTTACAATTACCCAACAAAATGTACTACCCATATTAATGATTACATTCATTTTTTTCCCAATAAGCTGTTCACTTTTACCATTTTAGACTTTTTACCAAGGCCATAAATGATAATTTGAAATGTAAAAATATGCTATTATTTGTAAACAAAGGCACTAAAGTGATATTTGTGGTGGATCAGCAATAGTAAGACTTCCTAATGATTACTTTGTAAAACCACATTGTATAACAATCTTCAAAATTTTGCTCCTAAGTTATAAAATCTTAATACATTCAGAGCCCTCCACTGGGGCTGAAAGGCCAAATGCTAAATGAATTAGTATTCAAAAGTATCACTTATACATAACATTCACAATTGCTGAGTTTAATTTTAGTTAAGTAACACACTTGTCATATAAATAGTATAGTCCTTGCTACTGAGGGTGGGGCCCATAGGCCAGTAACAGCATTAACTAGGAGTTTATTAGAAATGTACAACTCCAGGTGCAATCCCAGAACTGATGTAATGGATACATATCATAAAAGGGAAATGCTACAGACAGCTCTATGGCTCTGGACACAATGCTTTATTAGTATCTCAAGGAAAGTTTTCCAAAATTCAAAAGAAGTTATATGTAAGTTACTTTGTATCCTAACTTGTTCCTACAATGATAAAAATTACTGACCTGGTCAATGCTGAAAAACCCAGCAGCCTGTAATACTTGACATAAAGATTCTACTAGTTTCATTTTATCAACAGGATCCATTCCTTTATTTACAATTTCAAATAAACAGTCACATGCCTCTTCTCGGAGCACTTCTATTGACATATGACCTAGCAGCATATTTACAAACCTGGTAATGGAGATTATGAGAAAATTTGTTATTTTCAAATTTAGATACTGTCATTTTGCAAGTTTATTTTCTAAAATTAGGTATACTTACCTATCATTGGCTATAAGAGATAAGTCTATCCAAGAGACATACGCCCCAACTACTTCAAGGCACTGACATGTCACTTCTGAATTAGTATACTGATAATTTTGTAAGATTTGGTACCATGATTCCACCAAGTTTGGAACGCACTGCTCCCTCATGGTATCTTTTATTAGAGTATTCCTACGAGCCTCCTGAAAAAAAACACACGCACACAGATTACCTCACAAAATAACGCTAGACCATCGGAATAGTTGTACAGTATTTTAACTGCCACTACACTTCCAAACACATTCCCTGCCACCATTTCCTATTTATCAACTCTAGAATCATATCCTGTGATTCTCTGTATTTCCGCTTTCCGTTCCATTCCAGTGCCAGAATTAATTTATTAAACACAAACTATAAATAAGTATTGTGTATAAGAAATGTGAGTCCCTCCAATAAATGATTAAAAAAAAATGTGAGGCACATGATTAAGATAGTTCTTAAATTTTAAGTACAGCAACTTAAACTCACACTACCCTTTAAAGATATAAATATTTCAGACATACCAAACCAAAACCAAACTCACTGCCATCTATTTGATTCTAACGCATAGTGTTCCTTTGGGCTAGGGTGGAACTGCCAGTATGGGCTTCTCAGACTATAACGCTTTATGGGAGTAGAAAGCGTCAACTTTCTCCCAAGGAGTGGCTGGTGGATTCAAACAGCTAACCTTGGGCTTAGCCGCCCAATACATAACCAATACACCACCATGGCTCCTTCATATATCCAACGAAATTCACTGGCATTGAGTCAATGCTGACTCACAGGAAACCCTCTGTGGGTTTCCGAGACTAACTATTTACTGGAATAGAAAGCTTCTCCCGAGGAGCTGCTGATGGTTTCAAATTGCCAACCATGCAGCTTGCAGCCAATACATATAACCACTACACCATCAGGACTCCTTCCTTCATACACAGTCATCTTAAATCAGTGAACACATTAAATTATTAAACTTCCTATTCTGCTCTTTAAAAAACAAGAAAAAATAATACAGCTTAATGAAGAAATAGAGAAAAGACGAAGAGAAGGGTTATGTGACTGATAAAACAGATCATTCAAGAATTGATCATTCATAAGTAAGGATTTTTTCCTCCCTTAGGAACTATAAAGTAGCCACCAATACAGATCTCCTTCCCCCCCAAAATTAACAGTAGTAGTCTCGTGTATTAACTGGAGAAAATACTTGCTTAATTAAAAAATCCACAGCAATCCTAAATTTTTATTAAAAAAATTCAATATACTGAGTAAATTTATGTTATGGATATTTGTCGCCCAAAAATTAAAATGAGCCTTCCTGCTTCTTTCATGTCCATTATCTCCTACAAAATGTACTTTAAAGACTAAAACACAGCAAGCTACTTGCCTCTGATGTATGCACCACATCTCGATCCACCAACTCAGAATCAATAGCCATGAGGATTCGGAGATACAGATCTACACCCCTTGAATTTAGGTCCACTACTGAGAGAATGTCAAAAAAAAATGTGGGCCATCTAGTGAGATACTCTGTAACAAAAAGCAAGGCGAAGACTTGGGCTGCTTTATTTCGTATAAAGGTCTTCTCTGGGTGGGGGTTCACCATCTGACAAAGAAAGAGAGTCCATGACATTAGACGAAACTGGAAAAGACTCAAGGCACAAACTTTTTTCATTTATTGTTAATAAGCAAAAACAACAAAGTTCATCGTGGACCAAAATTAGCTGTACAACAGATATACTTGAGAATAACCAGAGCTTATTTAAGTGACTGATCAATCAGAGAACAATCAAGCCAGTAAAGGTACTGATTAGTTTTTATTCTTACACTTAAAAACACCCAAAAAAGTTAAAATTTTATTTTATTCTTTCAAAGTTCACACTTTTAAAATATTTTGTCTTCTGTCAAAGTTTACAAAGCAAATTATGTTTTAACAATTTTTATAAATTGTTCTAGGACACTGATAATGTTTCTCACAATGTGTCAGCATTCTATTTCAATTGTTTTTGGTTTTTTTTCTCTGTTCTGCTAATCTACCTTCCCTGCCCTCCTAAATATTGACCACTGGTTTCATGTGTAGTTAAGGGCACACAGTATTCACAAGTGATAGCTTACAAGTCAATCTATTACTTGAACAAAAGATGATCACCTGGAATGTCTGCAGTTCAAAGTTCAAAGTCACAGTACGGTAGGTAGTCTTAGGAGTTCCTCTAGGCTCTATCACTGATAGGTCTGGGATGTCTTAGGACTTCTATCTCTATTATACATTTTCCTTTCTTTCTATCTGAGATCTTCTACTGTGTCAGTAGTAGTAGTAGTAGGAGGAGGAGGAGCAGCAGCAGCAGCAACAGGCTGGGCACCACCTACTTTTTCTGGTCTAAGTGGATGAGGCTGTGTGGGCTCTTAGTCCATGGATTAGTTTCTTATTTAAGCCTTGGATTTCCTTCATTGTCTTTTGCTCCATATGAGTAGAGAATGGTATTTGTATCTGGGATGGCCACTTAAGGTTTTAACACCCTTGACACTACTCACTCAATGAGGATGCAATAGTATGACCAAGTATTCCATGAGATGTTGGTCTTAAGCAAGTTTCCATAACTATTCCCTTTATGTGGTTATCATTTATCAATATACTTATATATACACATAAATGTATACAAACATATGCCTACCAATACACCTATAAAAGCACATCTAGAGACTTACATATGCATTCCTATACTCATATACATATTTACCTAAACACATATAATTTGTGGTTATCTGTTGCAAAATTATGTTACGTTTACTAAAATTGTCCCATATTGTATAATTCCATTGAGTGCATTTTTCTTATTTCACCACTCAAAATGCTCTCCAGATTCATCCACGTATGTTTCATGGACTGTTCATTACTTTTTATAGTTGTGTAGTATTGCATCATGTACATACCACAATTTATTTATCTAGTCATTTATTGATGGGAGTTTAGGTTATTTCCAATTGTTTGCTATTGTGAATACTGCTGCAATGAACACAGATGTGCATGTCCATTCACGACATGAATTTTATATCTCTAGGATACCTTTGAGTGGGGTTACTGGATCATAAGGTATTTCTGTTCATAGCTTTCTGGAGAAGCACCAATGTTTGCCATTGTGGGTGTATCATTTTTACCACCCCCCACCAGCACTGACTGCCGCCTCCTTCTTTTTAAAATCATTGTTGTTTTTGTGGAGATGAGATGGTATCTTATTATAGTTTTTATTAACTCCATCTAAAGGCTAATGGTGGCTGATTATGAGTCAGGCTGATTATCACAAGGTCAGCAGTTCAAAACCACCAGCCACTACTTGGGAAACACAGGGCTTTCTACTCCTGTAAAGACTTACAATCTCAGAAACCCACAGAGGCAGTTCTACCCTGTCCTATAGGGTACCAATGAGTTGGTATCAACTCAATGGCAGGAAGTTTGAGGGGTTTTTTGGTTTGTTTTAATGACTAATGATCACAAGCATCTTTTCATATTTGAGGGTAAGTAAAAAAGTATTGCTACAAATCCTTTAAGAATTTTTATTAAACAAAAATACTAAAATGTTTCTCAACCAATCTTCCATCTACGTCCGTACATTTTTTTTAATCGTTTGATTAGGGGCTCATACAA